CTCTTCTTGGTTCTTTTGGGGATTGCCAGTATGCCATTCCTCCCATAATTCCTAGATGGAGCTTTGGGAGGTTTAGGGGGATAAGTGACCCTCTCATTCTCACTGCAGCAGTTAACAGAAGAAAGACAATCCCTGTGCCCCATTTTTTTCTTTAATTGGTTCAGAAGGAGGATACAACAATGCAGAAAATTTTCTCCTCCATCTGAGAAAATGACTCTACATGGCTCCATATTTAAAGGATCTAGAACCAAAACCATGTAAGTTATGTGATCAGTCAAAACCAAACAACCCAGCTAAAAATTCAATATCATGAAACTTCGTCATAATTTTTTTGCATAGGAACATTTCCATGTATTATCACTAAGGAATTTGTTGGTTTGTTTTTAAAATTGCCTGTTGGCTCTGAACTTAGTAAATAGATATATTTCAGTGACTTTAAAACACAAAATCAACCCCATCCCCCGAGCCCCTGACCACCACATTTGCTATGAATGTTTTCACCAGGTCTGATTGATATTTACATGGCTATCTACTGATCTGCTGCTGGGTAAGTATAGTGTGTTGTATTCCTTGATATTTTATATTAACACTCACACCAGTGAGAACAGGCCATGTATTGCTGAATTATCCAAAATGATATGTAATGGTTCTATTACTTGCACACACTTAAAATCTCCATTATATGTCTATTTGCACGTCTCTAAGGAATTTATTTATGCATTTTTAATGTACCCATCTTTGTGATATCTGGACACCACATCATTATTCCAGGTCTCTGTTCGTCCATGATTGACCATTTGGTGGACAAAGTATAATGGAAACTACAGCATTATGTTCTGACATAGACAAATAATTTGCATCACTACTGTATAGTGCATTAAGGCACAATGGATTTGAGGGAAAATATTTGCCTTCTTATTCAAGAACATAGTACACCACAGAAGTAATGATTTTCAGTCAATTCTGTCCCAGTTAATATAAATGAATATTCCTAAGGTGTAAGTTCAGTAGATACAATTACTGTCTTTTCCTCAGCATAAAATTGACAATTTCTCAATGTATTTTCTTTTTTGTTGTTTGTTTTGTTACTCAACTTTGATCCAGTATTAATTTTTTTTATAACTTCTGAATTATAAACTTGGACATTTGAATTAGTGATTAGCAGCTCTGTTCTTCTAAACTATAGACTGAAGAGCATGGCGATATTTTGTACACTGTGAACTAAATTGAATTATATGATGATGTCATAAATTACAGTTGTGTAAGTGGCGATGAGTGTAAATTAGGGTAAGCTACTTGCTGGGGTGGGAGGGCCAGGTTTTATCAGGAGAAACAACCAAGCACAGGGTGTAAAAAAAGTGTATGGAAGTAGGAGGCTTGCTTTATCTCACACCTTTTTAAATATTCCTGTTTACAAATTCTTGGAATAGAAGCTATCGTATGTGCAAATGGTCAGAAAGGAGATGCTTAGTAGTAGTTATATGTATTCCAGTGCCTAGAACTTCCAATGGAAATTAGGGAACAAAGTCCTAAGCACTCTACAAGCACACACTGAGACAAGCACATGCTGAGAGGAAGTCCCTGCCCCAAGAGAATACAGTCTACACAGTCAAGACAACCAACGTTTTTGGAGGGGAAGGAGAGACAGAGAGCAGTGATTTTCCCACTGTGTCGTAGCAGGTCACTGACAGGGTCAGAGCTCTTGAGTCTTAATCCACTATCCTATTCACTAAATCAGGCTGCCTCCGAACATAAGAGACTATCAAATTCCACAGCAATGGGGCCTGTGTAGGAAGCTAGATCTATAGATAAATTTAGATGGGTAGTTCAAGATGCACTACAGAAAGGCAAACTCTTGCATTTTGTATTGGCAAGGATATAAGTAGTTTAGTTTCTTAATCACTGTGTAAGGTCCCCTCCAAAAAGGAGTATGTTTGGGATTTTTTCCAGGCAGCTTTTTCCAGTTGCATAGCAACAACTTCTCTCCTTGCTGGATGGACATATAACTTTATTTTTTTTCTGACATCTTGTGCCTGGCATGCTCGCTTCTGGCTCTTGCTATATACAAAGACAACAAAAGATGACTTTTTATCCCAGTCTTGTTAGTCTTCACTGACTAAATCTCTAAGAATAGCACCAATGGTACAGTTTACTTTCTCTACTCCCAATTACTCATCGGTGGGCAACATTGGTCCTCACCTTGATTAGCTGGAGTTATTGGCAAACGTTGTGTAACTACGGTGATTCAAATTCCTTCCCTGATCACTGCAGAGACAACTTGATCTGCTGAACTGCAACACATGTTTCATGGGTGCCCCCATAACTGTCTCATCCCTTTTGTCTTTCAGTGGGCTCATACACTACCGGAAATTACTGATTTGTTCTGATAGTGGGCCTTTCAAATCAATCTGTATGAACTCCCAGGACTTAGTAGGTTGGGGCATTTCAGCTGAAAGAGTTCTTGTTTTTTATCATGCTTGCCTATCTTGGTAAGACAGGGAAGTGCCTAAACCTTAACATTTGCAGCCATATCCAGCCAAAAAAAATCTGGGTACCCAGCTAAAGAGGTTTTTCATACCATGGGTAGCGGGGAGGGATAGCTCAGTGGTTTGAGCATTGGCCTGCTAAACCCAGGGTTCTGAGTTCAATCCTTGAGAGGGCCACTTAGGGATCTGGGGCAAAATCAGTACTTAGTCCTGCTAGTGAAGGCAGGGGGCTGGACTCAACGACCTTTCAAGGTCCTTTCCAGTTGTGGGAGATAGGATATCTCCATTAATTTAATTTATCATGAAGACAGTCCAGTACCATTCTCTGTTAGCTTGCTAGCAAGACAATTCTGTTACCTTCATTCCCCAGTAAGTTGGTACCCAGATCAATGCATAATTGTTCCTGAGCTGCACTGACCCACCTAGTCTGAGTTTCCTTTAGTAGATCTGTTGGTGCACAGAACAGAACTCGGGTTCTTCTTCGAGTGTCATCCCTGTGGGTGCTCCACTTTAGGTGATTGTGTGCCCTGTGCCTCTAGTCAGAGACTTTTGATAACAGTACCTGGCTGAGCCACATATGTGCTCTCCCAGTCTCGTGTCAGCAGTGGCAATTACCTAGTCCTGTGTGGCCTTCCCACCCCCCAGTTCCTTCTTAACTGCCCTTGGTCCGAGTCAGCACTCCAGCAGTGCACTCGCTCACTTTACCTCAGAATTAGCTTAGTTAGATTAGTCAAGTAGTTTAATGTAGTTAGGTTAGTTGGTTAAGAACCCTTTCGTTTTCTCCCTGCTTAAAAACAAAAACACTTTTTTTCCTTTCGTCCCCTTAATGGACATTATTTTTCCTCAGAATGCCAGGGTCGCCTGGCTGTAAACGCTGTCTCTCCTCTCATGAGGCAATTCCGCTTTCTGATGGACACTCACAATGTGTCTGGTGCCTGGGGAAAACTCATGTGCCCCAGAAGTGCACCCATTGCCACAATCTTAAGACCCGGACAAGGAAAGTGAGGGACCTTAAACTGAAACTTATCTTAGTGGAAAAGTCTCTCCGTCCCACCTCAGACCTGGGCTCGCAAATTTCTCCTGATGCCCTATCATCAAAGGTGGCTTCCAACAGACCGCCCTCCTCTACCCTGAAAGGAAGGGACCTGTCTCCTAAAGGATGTGGAAAGGGGAGAGCTAACACCCCCTACCAAGACCGCGTCAAAGACAAAACTTTCCCCCACTCCATCCACCACATCGGTATTGTCACAACCACAGATCCTAGGAGGGCAGGCAGAAGACCGCCTCCTCCACCTTGGTACCTGCAACACAGCTAAAGCACTTGGTACCGGGTAACTCTGCAGTTCAAAAGGCAACAGAGCCATCTGCTGGCCCTATGTTTAATTGCATAGACATTACATCACAGTTGCTATTCCGTCCTCGGTGTGCTCTCTGTCAGCTCCTTTCCTACCAGTACCCCTGGTACTGCCACAATTCTCTGTACCACCTTTCACACAGGTACCTCCATCAGTTCCATAGCTTCAACAGTTTCTTGCTCGAAAGGACCTGAAAATTGCCCCAGTACCAGCATCACCTCTCCTCAGTACCAATACTGGTTCGGTACTTTCGCTACCACTCACTTCACTAAATACATCTGCTCTTCCTTTCTCTAGCACAGAGGATGAAGATGAGGAGGGGAGGCTTTCTCCTCCCAGTAATCTCCACCTATGCAAGGCAGTGTTCACGCTGCACATCAACAGTGGCCTAAGCCTCTGCCAGGGTCTGAATTTCAGGGATGGGATGGTCGCCCCTGGGCGCCCTCACATACACCCTTCCCATCTCAGTGAGCATTCTGGGAACCATGGGGAGCTTATACACAGCTTTACCCCAGATCCCTTAGTGGCATCAGAGAGATACATAGGTCCTCTTCAGCATGATCCACAGTGCCATGATCCACAGCTGCCCCTCCCGAACAGAGTGTTGAGGAGACAGAAGAAGTTTTAGCTCAGGAGGCGGATCCACCTGCACTTCATTCTCAGTGGATGAGACTATTATTCCCCTTATGCTTACTCCTGGAGATGATTTCAGCAATTTCCAGGAGCTCTTCAAAAGAATAGAAGAAACGTTCCGGATAACCCTAGAGGAGATCTCCAAGTCACGTCACGACCCTTGGACATACTTCACATATCCATCTCCTCCAGGATTGCCTTTCCAATTAACTCAGCAATCATGAAACCCTGCACAAACATCTGGCAGACCCCCTGCTACAATCCCGCTCACATGTAAGAGAGCGGACAAAAACATATTACGTCCCTTCAAAAGGGATGGAATTTCTATTCACACACCATCAGAAAATTTCATTGGTCATTGATGCAGTTAATGAACGGGGCAAACAGCATTAATCTAGAAAACCCCTTATGATAAAGAGTGGAAAAGACTGGTCTTACTCAGCCACAAGGCCTGTTCATCAGCGACACTATACTTCCGGGTTGCCAATTATGAAACACTTATGGAGAAGTATGACCATATAAATGATTCCAAATTTTCTGACTTTATTGACTACATACCCAAGGACAAAAGAGAGCAGTTTACATCACTCATTTCTGAGGGCCTCCTCTTGGCTAGAACTGCCCTCCAAGCCTCTTTGGACTCTACTGACACGACGGCAATGACCATAGCCACCGCCATAGTAATGCGCCAGGCCTCCTGGTTTCATCTGTCGGGCTTCCCTAGGGAGATCCAAGCCACGGTAGAGGAACTTCTGTTCAAGGGTCCAAAACCGTTTGCCGCTAAGATTGACACGTTGCTCCATTTGTTGAAAGATTTGAGGGCCATGCTCAGGTCACTTGGCATCTATACACCTGCAACAAAATGCAAACAAGACAGGTATTATACATTGCAGCGTCCCACACAAGTCCCGTACACACAGCTGCCGGGACAGTACGATAACTAGAGGCATAGACAGAGACCACCCAGATGCAGACCAAGCTCCTCCCAACCCATCACATCTTAACAATCAACCTCTAAACAGCAGATTTGAAGGTTTGGTTGAGGGCTTGCCAGACCTCCCCCAACTTTTGCTGCCAACACTATCTCCCACCAACCATCCCTTTACCAATCATCTAATACCGTTCTATCCAAACAGGTGAACCATCACTTCCAACAGATGGGTACTGGAAGTCATCATGACCGCCTATGCCATCCAGTTCCTCTTCATCCTTACTACCACCCTCCCGCCCCATCCCTCTTCAGGGACCCCTCTCATGAGCCCTTCCTGAGACAGGAAGTGGAGCATCTCCTACAACTGGGTGCAGTAGAGCCAGTTCTGGTACATCACTGAGGGAAGGGCTTCTATTCCCATTATTTTTTAACCCAAAAGAAGTCTGGAGGATGGAGAGCCATCCTCGATTCCAGGAAGCTAAACCTATTAATCAGAACACGACGATTCAGGATGGTTACATTAGCTACAATGACTCCAGCACTGGAACAAGGGGATTGGTTTGTAGCTGTCGACTGGCAAGATGCATATTTTCACATTACTATATGCCCTACGCACAGGGAATTTCTTTGGTTCGTACTGGGACAGGATCATTTCCAATATACAGTACTACTCTTTGGCCTCTCCACAGCCCCGTGAGTATTTTCCAAAGTAATTGCTGTGGCAGCGGCCCACCTTTGCAAGCATGGGGTCATGGTAAACCCCTGCTTAAATGATGGTCTCATCAAGGCTCACACTCGGCAGAAGCTGTCGCAGTCACACACCAGACAATGTCGCTCTTCATCAGTCTCTGTCTACAAATAAAAGTCCACACTAATACCTGCCTAGAAATTGGACTTTATCGATGCACACCTACATTCTCTAGAAGCAACAGCATCATTACCTCTTCAGAGATTGACTGCTTGAATGAACCTCATCGATACCTTGGTGCACAGCCCAAGGATATCGGCCAGGACCTGTCTTCAGCTACTAGATCATATGGCGGCAATCACATATGTGGTGAAACATGCCAGACTGCACATGCACTGCTTGCAGGGTTAGCTCAAGGTCGTGTTTACACCACACACAATTTGAGACTTCAGAGTATGCCAATAAAGGTCAAGGACTCACTACAGTGGTGGATTCACCCGCACAATGTCTGTTCAGGTGTCCCTTTCCTTCAGCCTCCTCCCAAATTGATAAGCACAATAGATGCCTCTCTACTGGGCAAGCTCACAGTACAGGGAAGATGGTCTTCTTCCGAATCAACACTCCACATCAATGTACTGGAACTGTACGTAGTTTAGTATGCCTGTGCGCGTTTCATGCCTCTGATCAAAGACAAAAACATACTGATCATGACGGACAATGTAGCCTGCATGTTCCACGTAAACAGGGAGGAGTGAGATCATACTCCCTATGTACGGAGGCCATAAAACTCTGGACATGGTGAGTACAACACATATCAGGTACCTACCTGCCGGGGTTTCAATATCATGGCCTATGCTTTAAATAGAAGGTTCTTGAATGACCTTGAGTGGGAAACAATATCTGTGTGATCAGGAGCATATTTCAACAATGGATGTTCCCCGCGATAGACCTATTTGCCAAAAAACAAAAGGGTAAATGTCCAGCTCTTTGCTCCAGATCAGGTCTGGGATGAGAATCCAGCGGCAATGCATTTTTCGTTCCATGGCATGCACCACTCCTTTATGCTTTTCCTCCCACCCCATTGCTGTCTAGGGTTCTGCACAAGATCAGAATTGATCAAGCCAAAGTCATTCTGATAGCACCAGCATTGCCCAGACAAACCTGGTACCTATACCTGAAACAGATGTCATCATGCCCCCCGTTTCTTCCAAATCTCTTCTCTCAGGACGTGGGTCAGACTCTGCATCCAAATCTGCTCTGGTGTCCAGTCAAGGGACCCTGGCAACCGACTATAAATCAGAGTTAAGTGTAAAACAAACAAACAAACAAAATACACCACCACCAATCCTATAGCTCACTCATTCTTCTTCAGCTGTCCCTTTACTGAGAACATGGTTGATATTGATATCATATGTGGCATCTGGTGAAGTTTCTTTTTGTAATGTTAAATACCCAAGTGAGAATGGCCTTGATCTTGCACCACTGAAGTCAATGGGAGTTTTACACTTGACTTTTATGGGATCAAGATCAGACCTTAAAGCAGAACATTTCACTTTAAACATTTTTAGAGAACTCTGTTGGGAATCTGAGTATCAGATTCCCTGTTGGAGGGGGCAGAGATTCAAACAGTTTCAATAAGTTCCTGTCCTGTAACTTTTTTTTTCTTTTCAAGTTCCATTTACTTCTTATTCGACTTGGGAAACCAATTTTGCAAATAAATTGTCCCCTTCTGTGATTGGTGAGCAGGATGATTACAGAGGCTTGATTAAAAAAAATAGGATTTATTTTTAAATACTACTACTCTAGCCACTTAGTCTGAATATTTCTGCTAGTTTTCTTTTACTTTGTTATTCAAGGATCCTCCCCAGGATCTGTCTGCCTCGTTACTTTTTTTTACACTTTTTTTAAATAAAGCTTATGTATTGTAAAAACGTGCTTTTAAAAGGCCAATAGAAATAATTCCGTGGTTGTGGCACTTTTTAAAATTGCTTTATAAACAGTTGCTTCTAAACAGAGAAATCATTCCTCTTCAGTGTTTGCAACCTAAAAACAGCAGCACTGAGAATGGGTACGTAGAAATAATTCAATTGATTTTCATTGCTCAATCTGAAAACAATTTGGAAACTTTTCCTGTCCACATCAGAATGAAACCAATACCTTGCCAAGTTTTTTGATGGAGAGAGATCCCCCTCCACCCCAAGTAGCCTTGTGGTTATGGTACTTACCTGGGATATAGGTGACTCAAATTAAAGTCAATGTTTTGCCTGCTTTAGACCAAGGACTTTAACCTGAGTCTTTCACATCCTAGGTGTGGGCCCTCACCACTGGCCTATATAGTCTCTCTCTTTTTCATAATGAATATTTATTTATACAACATGGAACCATTCCAACAGAAGAGACTGACAAAGTGAAGCAGCGACTGACTCTAGTTTTATGGTTAGACACTCATCTGGACATGGGAGACTGAGGTCCAAGTGTCTGCTTCAAATCAGGTAGAGCAGGGACTTGTAGCTGGATGTCTTACCTCCCAGGTGAGTGCCCTAACCACCAAGTCATGGGTTATTCTTCTTGTGCTTTCTCTTTTTCTCACTCTCTGGTTTTGACCAGAAACCTTTCCTGAGGAAAATGTATTAAAAACTGGTACATTCCCACAAAAAGAAATTAAAATCAATTTTGATGAAAAAATGTTTCATCAAAAATTTCCTTGCCGTCTCTATTCAGAATGGCTCCCAACACTGCATCTAGGATACCACGCTACTCCTCCTTGACACCATCTAGCCCATTGAAGTAAATGGTTTTGAGCACTGCAGTAATACTGCAGTAAGTGTTTGCAGAACTGGGCGGTAAGGTATTTTTGGTCTACTCACTGTGGCATCTGATCACCTTCTACTAATGAATTAATCAATGTGACTCATACTTGATTCATGGGAAATTAGAGATGTAGTATGTACTACAGATTTCAAATCAACAAACGTATTGTCTGCACTTTCTGGCTATGTAGAAGGGGACAGATCATGTCAAACAGGGTCATAAGTGTTAAGCATGACTGGCTAATGTGTCCTTGTTCACACTAAGGGTAAAATTGTTGTTTAACATCAAGTTAGTTAGAACATGCTAGCTAACATGTTTTCTAACATTATGCATTTTGTAGACAAGGCCTCACTGTTCATGTGGTCTGGGGCACAGTCAGCATCTATGATGGCAGAGTCCTTTAAAATAATTTTAATAGTAAAGATCCCATCCTCCATTTCTTTTTAAAATTGTAGAGAGATTGTGAGTGAGTGGGAGATGGAGAGGAGGGAAAGAAGTAGCAGGATATGAGGTGGAGATGATGCGGAATAATAGCTAAGGAGGTGTTACAGTATTACTTGTAACTTACTGGTAATGCATGTTGAATCTAAGTACTGATATTTATCAAAACAGAATCAAATTTATAACTTCTGAATGAGATTTTACCTACCACTCTATTTTTCAAATTTGAGTTAACTAAACAGGGAGCCAAAATGTAAAATCCAAAGTGCATCCAGGGAGTCTCTTTCTAACTTTTAAATCATTTCAGTAAAATCTGTTAGTGAAAAACTGAGGTTTCAGTATCCTGAGCTTCTTGGAAATGTGTTTGTTATTTTTATCCACAGCCAATGTGCTTGGGAAGAAGAGCAATTTTGTTTACTCCCAGGTGGCTTAAATTTGATTTGAACTCACAGCAGAGTTTAAGCTGATGAATAGCTTTTTATTGAACATGAATAAATTGAGAAATTCAGATTAGTCAGCCACTTTTTCTTCATCATTTAAATTCCAGAGAAGATGCATTTAGCAAAAAAATAGAACACAAAGGTATGCACAGTTGATGAATTGTACCTGATGACTAGCTGAATTAATAAAATAATTAATGAATCTGATGCTGCTGCAGGGTTTTTCAGTTCCAGTATTCTTATGAAAAAGAATTCATACAACACCAAGAAAGAACTGTCATCAAAAAGAAAATGAATGAATGTATCATCCAATCAATATGCAGACCAATACTGAGAGAGAGGTTCCTTTAGTAAACAGACAGTAGCTCTTCATCAGACAAAACATAGTGTAACATAGATACTTTGGTCAGATATAAATGCTGAAATCCTCTGAATGACAAGACAGTATGTTCCTTGGAGCAAGTGCCTTGTCTCCTCCATGTTCTTTGTAACACTGAGCATATTTTAAGCATTCAATGCATAGCTTCAGATGTCGATTCCCTTACTCACATTGAGTGTGCTAGCTTACTCCAGGAGTAATCCTCATACTCACTCCCAGAGTAAGGTATCACTCAATGCAAATCTCACTGTGAGTAAGGAGATCAGAATCTGGCCATTTGTGATTGTGGTAACACACACAAGGATGCAAAGGTTGAGTGCTGATCCTTAATATTGTCACTTCTTTACTTTCGAGTGCCTGACCATACATTCTTCTCTTACTATAGTTTTCTGTGTGGAAAAAAATCATATAGTTCCATCTTTTTTGTAATGTCATTTGAGATCTACTGATAACAATGCTATGTAAAAGATAGCTATTGTTATTTTTCTATATGCATTCCATTTCTACTATGCAGGGCTGGCTCTAGGTTTTTTGCGGCCCCAAGCAAAAAAAAATTTGGCTGCCCCCGTCCCAGCCCTGGGCTCCTTGCCGCACCCCCCC